CTGTTAATTTCTGGTGTTCCCAGCTCCACCCTGACCTGGGGTGGTAGCACCTGTTAGGGTCCCAGCTATGGGTAAATAGTTAACCCCCCAAACTGGGATCAAAACGCTCTGAAGTTGTAAAAATAGATTTTAATACCAGCAGTACATTTTTGAAGGAAAAATTATTATCAGAAATACATATTTGAAAAATAAAATTTACCAGCAATACATTGTTGAAGAAAAAAGATATTACCAGAAATATTATCAGCAATACTTTTTTGAAGGAAAAATTATTACGAACAATAAAGATTACCAGCAATACATTTTTGAAAATAAAAATTATCTGCAATACATTTGTTGAAAAAAAAATATTACCAGAAATAAAAATCTTGCCGGCGTTAATAACGCATTGATTAAAACAAAACAAACGAAACTAAACCAAATAAAAATCATTTGTGGCATTAAATAACCCTTTGAGATTGATATGCCATAAAGCAAACCAAACTATTCTCAATTACCTAACGCATCATGTGTATCCACAATGGGCGTTAACACTTCGCTTATCGCAGTACTACCGACGTGTCAAGTGCAACATACGCAGCAGTCTGCTTACATTACCACCCAGTCTCCAGAAGACCTTCTGTCCGACCGTCCTTGGTAAGACGATAAACTACGTCCTGCTGGACGTAGTTTATCGTCTTACCAAGGACGGTCGGACGGCCTCTGATCCGGTTTTGAGGAGCGTGGAACCACCTCTTAGTTGCTGGTGTTCCCAAGCCCGCCCTGATCAGGAGTGGTAGCACCTGTTAGAGTCCCAGCTATAGTCGGCAAATAGTTAACCCTCAAACTGGGGTCAAAACACCATGAAAGTGTAAAAATAGATTTTAATACCAGCAATACTGTTTTGAAAAAATATTACCAGCAATACTGTTTTGAAAAAATATTACCAGCAATACATTTTTGAAGGAAAAAATATTACCAGAAATAGATTTTTGACAAAACAAAATATTACGAGCAATAAAAAATTTGTCGGCATTAAATAGCCCAATGAGGTTGATATTCCGTAAACGAAACGAAACCTTCAGTCCTACTTTTATCAAACGGCTTTAACTGAATAAATGGGTCACCAGCAATGGATTCTTTCACCGCCTTGTAACTTATCTCAGTAGCTAAGCTTAACACAGTGTTAATATGAATCTCATGAAGTCACTCAATAGTCGAAAACTAAAAACGTTATCACTATAAACGTTGATTCCATTGACATTCCCGTTTAAGAAAATAAAAACGGTGAAATTAATGTCAACCGACCTAGATTTGAGAAGTCCTAAAGAAAAATGTGCCTCCCGATATCGAATATATATTTCCTTTTGCCATCATTGAAACCACTCCTATTATCGGTGTGCCCGGGCACCCCGAGGCGGTGTAATGGTTAGCAAGCTTGTCTCGCTAAAACAATTACGAATGAGTAGTAAGTTCGATCCTCACTGTGTGACCTATACTTTCGGCCTTGTGCCACATCTAAGCTTCGCTTGGAAAATCACTGTAGTCGGTTTACGCTGACGGGTAAGGAAATACATCCTTGTAGATATAAATTCAAAAGATCCCAGCGATCAATATGCATTACTTTTAAGTAGGTAATTATGCTCTCTTGAGACTCTCTCCCGTAGCTTAATTGGTAAGAGCACACTTTAGTTATAGGAGTTGTTTCCCTGTTAGAAAAAGGGAATACAAGTTACTCCTTTCGGGAGACACATTTTTCTTTAGCTAGCTACGGGGATTTCAATATTCCCCAAAAAGCGTGGTTACTCCACTCGAACAAAGCCGTTAAAGAAGGCAAATATTGCAGAGATTTCTTTCTCACCTACGAACTAGCTCAAATCATTGAAGAATCCACCCGCCTCCCTGGCGTGACAGGGCATCAGGCAAACATCCTTGACCTCTTCAGCCCATCCTGCCCAAAAATGCTTCGCGGAAGTTTAGCCGTTTCGTAGTCTGTGTCCAAATTGATACCAAACCAAAGGCATCCCCCGATTTTCCGTTTCATAAAACGATTTTCCGTTACAGTTAGTTATGTGCCATGCGTGATCTTTCCATACATGACGAGGCAGATTTTTTCCCGCAGTAGGTTGCCATTTCTTTATGCGGCAGACCAGTTGCCATCCAAGTCTATGGAGGATCTGTCTTGCTATTTACCCATAGCGGGGGTGGGAGGGGGGATTTAGAAGAAGGGTATATGCACATAAGTGAATGTAATGGGTCTGACTGGAATTCGACCTCGGCTCTCCGTTTTCTCAATCCGAGCTGCTATCCATTACTCCACCGTGCACTAAGGCAGACAGGGACAACTTCAGATCATACATGCTGGAAGCTTCTCTGTCAAACTTCTTCAAACATGCTGCCTCCGAAACTGCTGCCCTCGTTTCAGAATGGATCCGTTCTGGAATGCGGAGTTTTATAGCCCCAGCGACCCCCCCCGCACAAAAAAAAAATTTAAAAAATAGCCGGCCCTTGTTCACCCATAAATGCTCTGCAGCCATAGCTTGCCGTAATTACTATTTTCTCTCTCTCTCTCTCTTATATATATATATATATATGAATGTGGCTAAATGTATAGCCGAAAGCGCTCGGAAATATAAAACATTAGGACAGTTCTTACACACCCTTTGTCCAGAAAAGAAAGCTCTTGTCAGAACACAAGAAAAATTAAATAAAAAGCTCAACCGTAGTACTTTGTCTGTCGTTTTTAATAAAACATATATATATATATATATATATATATATATATATATATATATATATATATATATATATATATATATATATAAATAACAAGGAGAGTGTACTTTGACACTTAATGCATTCTCTGCTAGAAACTTCTGGACAATGTAAAGCATATGAAAGGAATCTCTAGAGTTCTGGAAGATCATTAAATTATGAATACAGACAAAGCGGCTGTGCCCACTATTATAAATGCTCCCGAGGTCGTATATTACTCGTCAGTTAAGGTGAAACTCTTCACCTAAATATTTGCCTCTAACTCAGAAGACACTACACACCTCTTCCCGACTTCCCCCATCTCACTGGGCACAATCAGTTGTATTTTTTATAGCCCGGGAAGTCTTAAGACTCATCAAAAGTCTTGATACTAAGAAAACCCAGACAAAATCCCATTGATTATTCTTAAGAATATCGACCCGGAAATATCTCCGATCTAATTATTTAACAGCTGTTTGAAGGAGAAATCTTGTCGAAAGCCTCTCACAGTTCTATCGCTAGTTCCGGGGAAAGTCTTCGGACAAACTATATTCCTTAGTTCAACCAGTTCTAACCTTTATGGTTAGGGCCAGCTATGCCACGTATATTGTAATGAACCACCCTCACTTCCTCCATATTTCAATGGTAAAAAGTTCCACTCAAGCAGCTTCATCTCGCGAACCACTGCCCTGTGGAACCGACTCCCAAGAGGATATTTTCCCGATCATTACACTATTAATCTTTTCGAGTCTAGGATTAACCGTCATCTTTCCCACATATCAGCATAAACTGTACCTCTTACTCTGTAACCTCTACTTCGAGTGGCTCCCAGGCCTTGTACAAGGTGAACCTGACTGTAAGAAAAAAAGAAAGAAAAAGACTTCTCGATTTCGGCGGTTGACATTAATGTCGCTTTTTAAGGAAATAAAATTCAGTAGTCAATTCAAATAATTGAACCCATTAAAAAGTAAAGTTTATAGCTGTTGTGTCGGAAACCTACCACCCCTCTTGAAGATGAACTTGTCTGCGTCTGTAAACAAAGACTTTAAATAGTGGCATGTCAGTTGACATGGGGGGAAGACAGATAGACAGAGAAGTTCTTAGCTGAGCTAGTTATTGACTACTCAGGCGATTTCTGTACCTTTTTACCAACCTATTAAAACCCTTTTTATTGTTATGTGTTATTTGGCGTTTGTCTCTACTAACCCCAAATCAACATCATAGCAATAAGAAATAATTTCAGATAAAAAAATATATATAAAAACTCTTAAAAAGTTATTAGACTTTTAGCTAATACCCCCTAGCATGCAATAATGGAATTCATTTTTTATTTAGGAACTGATTTTCTCTTCTTTTTACAGGCTACATTTTGTGTCTATAAAATTTAACTGTTTATTGTTATTATTATTATTATTATTGCATATAAAGACCCGTGAAATTTAAGACCCGCTACTGCGAACTTGTGTAATTTTAGTAAACAGTTCGTGCGAGCTGCCCAAATCTAATCAGAGGACATAATCCTCTTAGATCAAAATCCGAAAATTTCAATTTCATTTCCCGTCGGGCTATTGTGTGATTGTACATTTTATATCGATGAAAAGAGTTAACACAATTTGGGGTAGAGATAGTTTATAAATATAGTTTTACAGTTTGGAAATTAATGAATCATTTGAAATGTTCTTTCGACTAAAATACCCTTGTGGACAATAAAATTACAAGTTCAGACTCTAATACGCAGAATGTTTCAATTTTGTAGAATTACGTGAAAGTTATTTTTGAGGAGATAGTTTCAAACGTTTTTATTTGAGTTTGTCATTTATACGTTTTCTTTTGCTTTTTATTGAAATAAGAATGGCGCTAATTCTTGAAAAAAAAAAGAGTTTTAAATAACAGAACGAACTACGAAGTTGAAAGGTGAAGTGTTTTTTGAGAGTTTCTAATTAGGGGCGTGTGGCATGTTCTTTTTATTTTTTAAACATTTTTACATGGTGAAATTAATAGCATTACATGTTGATTGATTCATTTTTTGCAGCTTATCAACCCTTTAGAGGCTAAAGCCAGAAAATATTTTTAGATTCTAAGAATTTAAAAAAAAAATAATAATGGTTTAGTGACACAGATCTTACTAATTAATCGATATCTGGGGGCGAGGAAGAAGTGAATTCATACTTTCCCAAGGATATTTGTGCGTGAATATAACCAACTTGAATTGTTTGTAACTCGACTCCCGATTCACAATTCAGAGCCTTTATCCATTACAACACCCACACAACATCCTGGTATTCTCAAGCGGTCACCTATCTAGGTACTGAAAAGGCTCGGCGTTGCTTAACTTAAGCGATCGTACGGGAATCGGTGTTTCAACGTGATCTTGCCGTAAGCTAGATCACGTCGAAACACCGATTCCCGTACGATCTTTTCTGTATCGAAACACCGATTCCCGTACGATTTTTCTGTATTGAGTGACAGAAATATGAAAAAAGAAATGGTTATTTCTGGTTGCAGAATTTTTTTTTAGTTTATTATAGATTAAGCACTACGGATAACAAACAAAAAAAAATATTTAATTTAAAAAAACAAAAACTTAATAGGAGTTCCGTCTATATTTGAGATGAGCTATTTTAAGAGTTTACACTATTTAAATTGTTCGGACTGTTGTCCTCATCTTTATTGCCATATCCATGATGTTTTGGCCATTGTAAACCCCGGCTCTCTTTAGGTGATATACACATGTCCCAGTAGATAAAAGCGTTAGTTGAAGTAAGTTAGTTGACCCAAAGAGTTGTGAGTTCAATACCTGTCCACGGCATCGGTGAACAAAAACTTGGAGATTTGAGTTACTAAAGGGAAATAACTGAAACTGAGATGTCCCTGAAAGGCATGACACGAGGAACTAGAAGACTCTACCCCAGTGGATGAAATAATGTGTTCGGTTCGAAAGTCCAATGTCACTTGAAGAAGGCCGGAGCGTACAGCGGTCGAAACGTCGTGAATATGATTATAAAGAAACAGTCCGAACAATGAAAATAGTATGAAGGGTTTCCAGTTTGGTATATAAATTCAATGTAAACTGATCACCCTACGGAAACCAAAACAATGTATACTCAATACAATGCGATTTTTTAAAATTTAGAAGGACAAAAGAATCTTAAATTTTAAGAAATCACGTCGTATAAACATATTTCTTTTGGCTTCCGTCAGATCAATTTACAATGAATTTATATAGCAAACTGGACATTATATTAGCTTCTATAAAAATTTAATTTCTTTAATCGTATTCTAGGGCGTTTATCCATGGTATTATCGAAAAGAAATTGAAAAAAAAAACATTTCTTGTAGTGTCAATTATCCAGCACCACACAGTTTATATTTCTCAGCCTTTAAATCTTTTAACGCCAAATTTATCTACATGTTAAACATAACCTGTCTTCGGATTTTTATACAATCTCACATTTTATTAGCTGCTTTCCTAGAAAAATTACTATGTTTTACGATCATCGACTTAAATGTGGTGTAGTGGATTCTGAAATTAGTCCCCTTTCAATACAAATTCTCCGAATAAATTTATATCTCTTTTAAATTGCATTAAGTTGAATTTGTGGTCAGACCTTTTGCAATCAACGACAGATGCACTGAGTATATTGTTTTGTAAATGACACCTTTAATTTTCATATTTTGGTTTGGTTTATTTTGTTTTACGGCATATCAACCTCAATGGGTTATTTAATGCTGACAACATTTTTAGGATAGATTCGTATGAATAGAATGTATTCTTTGGTTTAGTTTGGTTTATTTTGTTTAATGGCATATCAACTTCAATGGGTTATTTAATGCCGACAACATTTTTTATTGCTGGCAATATTTTATTTTGTCAAAAATCTGTTTTTGATAATATTTTTCCTTCAAAATTGTACTGCTGGTAATAATTTTTTTTTCAAAAAAGTATTGCCGGTAATAGTTAACTATTTGCCCATAGCTGGGACCCAAACAGGTGCTACCACCCTGGGTCACGGTGGACCTGGAAACATCAGCAATTAAGAGTTGGTTCCACGCTCCTTAAAACCTCCTGATCAGAGGCCTTGTTGCTGGATGTAGTTTAACGCCTTACCCAGGACGTTTCATATAATGTTTTAATTTTTTTTATTAAAACTTTTTCTTTTAAATATTATTTTTCAAAATTACCATTTTAAAATTTCTTCTTTTTTTTTTTTTTTTTTTTTTTTTTTTTTTTCCTTTAAATATTTTTCACTCCTAATGTATCTCGATGTTAAACATAGCCTATCTTTCGATTCTTATACAATCCCACATTTTATTAGTAGTAATTTTGTTAGGAAAGCACATATATTGTATAATCCTTGACTTAAATGTGCTGTAGAGTATTCTGAAATTAGCTCACTTTTTATACAAATTTTCTAAATGTCTCACTAATATATTTTATCGGGTATTTTTTTTTTTTTTTTTTTCGATTTATGTTCCTGTTTGGTGTTTCATGTTTGTTTTGTATTGATTAAATCGCTTATCGTTTCTAAAGTAATTGTGATAAAAATTTATTGTAAGATTGTTTTCAAATTATCGTCATGGAGTTGACATTAACCTAGTTTTATCAAGGATATTTCTTTTCAAAAAATTATAAATATTACGATAAAGTAATACTAGAACAAAAACTTCGAATATAGTATGATGATTTAAACGTATTCGTGCAACGAAAATTATTCATACCGATGCAAATATTGGCAGACATGTATAAATGATGTGCCCGTGGTCAGACGGAGTATCAAAAGGATGGTTTTCTCATGACAGTTTTTTTTTTTTTTTAACTACCTTCACTCTTCAGCCATGTTTATTATTTTCAAAAACGATGACTTTGTACGATAATAAAACCTAAACATATGATGATCTGGGGATCCTCTATTCTCGGAAGCAGAGAGTTTGACCAGCATACCTAGAGACGACTCTCCAACTGCAGACCAACATACAGTATTTACTACCGTATTTATGTGAATGGGAGCCTCATCGGGATTTGTTGAGATAATTCGATCCCATAGAAATGCAGAGTTCCACATCTCTTTCCAATTTCGGAAAAGAACAATTCTTTTAAAAATCTGGTTAAATAAATAAAAAAAACTATGTAATCCCAAGTAATCACGTACCTTAAAGGAAGAAAATGCTAAGAGCCAAACAAGATAGAAAGTTGTGGAGGGCCATGATCTATGTCCTGAAAGATCGAGGCACATAGAAGAATCAGAAATTCTACTTAAAATTAAAACCATCTGATTTGATATTGCTCATCAAATATATATTTTTTTGTGTATTTGGTTCTCACACTTCTCAAAGTCATGGCTTCTTTCATGTTGTGATGATATCAATAAGCTTAGATGTATGATATATGAATTTAGAGGACATTCTTTTTTTTCTATCAGATGTGTAATACTTTCAATAATAATATTACCGGCTTTAATAAAACCTGCTACTTTCTTCTCGCGATAAAAATAAATCCTTATCACTTTAAAATAGATAAGAACCATCCAATTGAATATGATTTTTTTTTTTAAAGCTGACAGAAACTGGCAATTTTATTGTGAAATATCTATATTCAAGAACAGATTTCTGTGTTCATGTCTTTTTGCCAAAAAGGTAAGGCTGATTTGAATCAAATATACGCCCACACAACTCCTTGCACTGTGTCCTTGAAATGGTTTCACTGGTAAAATGATGACTCGCATTTCTTTGTCTGTCACATAACGTTATAGAACTCGAATATATATTAGTAGGTTTTGAAAGTTTTAAAACACTTCCCACCTGTTACTGGACAACATTTGTTTCAGTGATGTTTTCTAAACTATTAAAATATTAAATTTTGTATATATTTTTCGGAATTTAAATTTAGTTTCTCTAAAATATAAACATCATAACGTGAATAATCTGGTAGAATTTTTTTTTAAATGTTTTCCTCCTCCTAGACGGAGAGTATGTATTTTTTTTCTTTCATAAACGAATTTGTTTTGAGGTAATTCTAAATCCTCTGAACTTAGGACGACGCCTTCTAAAAATATTTTATTTTTTTATTTTTTTTTAACAATGCGACGAGATTAAACAAAAAGTGTGAAAGAGGAAGAAAGCCATTTTTTTTTTTTTTTTTTTTTCAAAGTCGCTACTTATATGTTTTTATCTTCTAGGTCAAGTTACACTCACACGAAAACAGACTATATATGGATAGACATAAAACAGTAACTTCTAACACAATGTCACAGTATGTTTTAATGTTGTATATTATAAGCAGTAACGGACAAAAGATATAGGCCATTTTGAATTATTGGTTAAGAATGCTTTATCCGAAATTCTGGAACCGGAAGTACTTCGGTTTTCAGTTTTTTTTTTTTTTTTTTTTTCGGATTTTGGGATACAGGCTATTTAATTTCTTTATGGCATCTATAAAATGTGTCAGCTTGGGAATGGGACCCAAATATAAACACGATATACCTTTTGTATTTTGTGGATTCTTCTGATGAATTTTACTCATTAGTTCTGTCAATATTCGATGCATGATTTAAGTCAGGGCTCTAATCTGGCCATTCTATAACATATACCTTAAAGGTAGTTTTATATAAGTGGCATATGTCTACACAGACCCTGACGAATCCACTCCGTTAATACATGATTGAGATCATTCTTTGCTGTCTGCAATGTTTTTCTATTTTTTTTTTTTTTTTTAATTTCTCTTCATCAATTCAGCATAAAATTTTGACAATTTCTCCTTTTTGTTTCTTTAGGTTGTATATGGTGGGTGTTTGTTTCAATACCAAACTCAAGCGCTTCATACTTTCACCCTTGTCTAGTTTTTCCAACAGTTTGACTTTCTGTGATATTGACAAAGACAAACGTTTTCATTTGCTTTTCATTACCCATATGTGTATCTGCAAGACTTTTTGACACTTTGTATAACATCTTTACTGAGCATGAAACACCTGGTAAGTAATCCATGAACGAAGGTGTTGCTCTGATATTCGCTAACAAAAAAAAAAAAAAAAAAAAGCGCCAACGTAGGCTATGTAGCTGGGCTGGGAAACCCCCACCCAAGGTCACTTACTGAACAACAGCTGCACATCACCTAGGAACATTCCCAGTGCTTTCTGAAATTTTCCATTTGTGGCAAGTTATGTCAGCACCTCGAATGTTTTCGTATTTTGGAGGTTTTCGGGTTTGGGACTATCGGATGAAAGATACTCAATTTGTAGTGTAAATTTCTAACAATTGTCATCTTATACGGGAATGTTTATTATTGTGCTGTATACAGATGAATCTTTGGCCATATTGGAGTCATTTTCACACCTAATTATCATATTATTTTAGCATAGGTTCTAAAATAATGTGTAACTTGT